GGGGGTTGATAGGGAGTAAAAGCTAGAGTATCTGTCACGGTTTTTTTTGCCACCTGTGCCCCTGATTTTATTTAGTATTAACATCATGAGGCCTTACTTGATGGGTGTCTGAACAAAAAGTTCATCATGTACAGCAATAAAAATCGAAACAGAATAATTTAGGTTAGGGACTGTGGGACATTACAAATAAGGACCCAAATTACCATCTAGATATTTCTGCAGTACCAGTACAATAGGGATGTACCATGATGGCATCTTTCTCCTGAAACGCCTACCCAGAGTGAGAGATGCCTTTCAATATTGTTTTAAAATCAAGTGGTTAGAAAAATATTTTTTTTTAGCACGAAGTAGAATTTAGAGAAACAAATGCAGATTTTGCACATTTCATGAACAAACTTCATTAGCTTATTAAACATTAATATTAATGCAACCCTGTAAACATTACACAACTGCAATGAAGTCCAGACAAAAAACAGAGATGCTGAGAAGTGTGCCCATTTTAGAACAAGCAAGTTTAGGTAAATGTCAAACAATGCTGAAGAATGTTTTACATACAGAAGTGTAAAAAAAAAAAAAAGAAGAAGAATGAAACCGTGTACAATTTTCTAGCAAGGGACGAAATTGGGGTTTTCCTTGTGCAAGAGTGGAATGTCAGACGGTATGACAGTGGGCAGTATCTGCAGGAAAGGAATGGAGAGGGTTTAAAAGCAGGCATCATGTGCAGGAGAGAAGTTCAGCAGGTATGACAGTGGCCATTATGTGCCAGTGAGCAATGTAGACGGTATGGCGGAGCAACTGTGCAAGTAATGAGTGTGTAGGGTATGAAGATAGGCAGTATGTGCAGGAGAGATATGTGAAGGATACAACAATAGGCAGTATGAGCAGGTAAACAGCATTTATCATATTTAGAGAATATAGGATATTGTAGGCTAGGATATAAATCGCTCAATTAAAGTTAAAATGGGCTTTGCACTAAACAAATTCCTGTTTGGTCTTTTTTTCCCCAGCCAGATATTGCATGACAGAGCTAACTAAACTAGGCCACAAGCCAGATTTGTCATTCCTGAGGTGTATAGTAGAGAAATTACTGTTCTTTTACATTGCTTGTGTTAGGCCCTGTGTATTTTTATAGCACAGCATCTGCACATTTTTTAGAGCACTCAAATACATGTCTATACTGTGACCAAGGGACCTGGATCCATCAATGCCTATGACCCTGAGGGAGATGCCATTGCTGATCTCTCCCTCTTGAAAAGATGGTTGCCTTGCTGGCATACTGAGTTACTGCAATAAATGATTTGACCACTCTGAAATTGTTATTCCTGATCAGAGACAGATTAATACTTTGCCCTAGGCAGAATACAGATTCTCCTCACCATCGGTAAACCAATGTATGTAAAGCTGCACTCAACAGCCAGGACCTCAATTTAAAAAGGTTTATTCCCAGGAATCCACAATGTTACAAGCATGACAAGATCCACAGGCTCTGACATGTTCGCTAAAAAGATTTAATCATAGTGACTAGGGATGCACCGAAATTTCAGCAGCCAAAACATGAACGAAAATGTGGTGCATCACTAGTTTCTCTCCTCCCCATTGGGCACTGCTCTATGTCCCCTCTGACACAGAGCAGTGCCTAGCAGAGAGGAGATAAACTTTCAGAGCCTGAGCGGGGCAGGGGGAGATCACTGTCAGCGGTGTCACAGGAGGCCGAGCGGGGCAGTTTGGGAGGAGAGCTTGGCCTTTGTGACAAGCAAATCAGTATGGAGAGTGATGCAGGGAGAAGACAGCTGTCAGCTGTCACAGGAGGCCAAGCCAATGGTGCAGGGGAGGAGTCAGCTATCTGCAGTGTCACAGGAGGCCGAGCTCTCCCCACACCGCCCACTCAGCCTTTCTCGATAGCGAGTCAGGATGGAGAGCGGCTTACAAGCGCTCAGCAATCAGCTCATCACTTAGTGTTTGTAAATAATTGAGGACATGGTAAGCTTACTTGTCCCCAATTATTAATGAATAGGAAGTGCTCTACATCGCTTCCTGTTCATTCATGATTGTGAACATAGTAACTGATACTACCGCCTCAATTTATGTATGTACAAGAGCACTCAGTACAGAGGTTTCCTGTTCATTCATAACAGGGGCTCTAGAAAGAGATTTAGTACTCGTGTCCACAATCTCTTTTTCCATTTTAAAAGGGAAATGTCAGGGGTCTGTTTAGACCCCTGATATATTTCACCCAAAGCCCCCAAGTAAAAAAAAATAATAATTTTAAAAAGGCTAGAAAAAAAAAACTAACATTTTCGGTCTCAAAAAATTTTTATTTTTGGTTTCGGTCTGAAAATTCCATTTCGGTTCACCTCTAATAGAGAAGCCACCTAGTAAAACAAGGTTTCAGCTTTATAGACCTAAGAAACAAAGATCTGATGTGTAAAAGCCCAGAAAGCACTCACTGCCCTAATGGAATGAACCTTAAATGGAAGAGTTTAAATCTATACGCCTGACCAATGGTTTGGTATATTTTTCAGGAAATTGTGGAATTGGAGGCTGGAGAACCCCTAATGGCTCTCAACACCTAAACAACTGAACAATGGAGCAAAATTCAGGACTCAAGAAAGGCAACATAATGCCTTAATTTAGATGATAGGCAGACACTACCTTGGGCAAAGGGGGGAGATCTACACCTCAAAACAATCTGGGCCTTGCAAATAATCAAAAAGGGTTTCTTACAGGACAATGAAGTCAGTTCCCAAACCCTCCAGGCCAATGTAATCACCACAAGAAAGGCAACCTTGTGAGAAAGGGAAGGAAAGGAAATTTCTTTGATATGCTTGAAAAAAAGGTTTCTGAAAACCCAACAAGACCCAACTATACACCCACGGTTGAAGCTGGGATCTGACTAATGGATCTGCATGACTGCTTCGTTAAAGGTACCAATCAACGAATGAGTCACTGGCAGTCTCTAAAAGAGAATAGCCAAAGCTGACACCTAATCCTTGATGACACTTCAAATGCTGGCCCAACTGAATGAAGTAAAAGATTCATCCAACTAAAAATATCTCTGGATTCACACAAACAAAAAGTAAACCTTTTCAAATTCGGAGGCACACTTTGCAGGAAGTAGACTTACAAGCCTTCTGCATGGAAATAATAACCCCTATCCTTCAGTACATGGGCTTTGACTGCCTTACTACTGAAGTCAGTGACCAAGAAACAGAATGTACAATCAGTCATTGTGAAAGTAGGTCTGGGCAATCTAGCAATCAGTTAATTTGCTAGCAAACATATGAGGTTGGCATACCAAACTCTCCTAAGCCAACCCAGGGCTATGAAACCAACTAAAATACCCTTTGCATCAATCCTTGTTAGTAACGAGTCAAAACCGTTAGAAGAGTGCACCAGTACATCTGCTTGACCCAGTCGCTGAAAGAGGACAAACTCCCAGGTATATAGAAGGTGTCTGTGTCGATATTCACTTTCCATTATGAATGTGTTTTATTGGTGCTATATATTTTTATTTATGTAATATAAATGAAAAAACAAACAAAACGAACATGTGTAGGAGGGTACCATTAAACCAAAAAACTCCATACTAAAGACCATCTAGACCCCAGGGCTAATTGTCCCGTATCCTTAATAAGCCAGAGTTTTTGTCAGAGGTGTTCACTCACCTTCCTTTTCCAAGTGGAAAAGGGTACAAGACAGGGTTGACCGCTATACCCTCTGCTTTTTAATCTAGCTATAGAATCCCTTACCCAATTTCTTCTCTCTCCCACCCTCTTTTCAAGTTATTAAAATAGGTCAATGGCCCTCTATGCAGATGAGATTTGTCTATTCTTAAAACAGCCCAAATTACACCTAGCAACAATTATTCTTTACGTATCTGACTTTAGGGAAATGTTTAGTCCTTATACTAAACTACTCTAAAATTGAGATACTATTTCTCTCCAAGACAGATTAATAATTAATCTTGAGTCTTTCAATTTGGTATCCAAGTAGTTAAACACTCACATAACTAGGTATTCAGCTCAGCAGAGTTGTCCTAGAACCAGAGGCGGTGCTAGACTTTGGGAGGCTTTAGGCGAAACTTAAACATGAGACTCCACTCATGCCCATAATGGAAAATGGATGGCTGTGGGGGGTTTCAGGTGGCTGTGCGGGGTCTCAGGACAACTGTATGGGGGTCTCAAGTGGCCGTGCAGGGTCTTAGGAGGTTCTGTGGGATTTCAGGAGGCTACGCAGGGTCTTAAGTGGTATGTGTGTGGTCTCAGGTGGTCTGTGCGGGGTCTCAGGATGGCTGTGCAGGGTCTCGTGGGCTGGTGCGGGTGGCACGGTTTTAGAAAGGAGAAGATGTGTGGCTGGCACTGTAAATTGGCACTGCAGTTCACAGGAAGGCTGTTGAGGACCTTGGAAGCCTTCCTGTGAACTGATGGAAAGTAGTCTCCGCTCCAATTCATCCCAAAGGTCTATCGGGTTGAGGTCAGG